ATGTGTTCAGTAAAGGGAACTCTACGTCTTTAGGGCGCAAGGATCTTCAGATTTGTCCCAGATGATATCCAATTATAGAAATTACCTGATCAACACATCACAAATTGTTTCCAGTTTTTACAAATTAACAAATTGATTTATTGCCAACCCACAAAGGCTGCTATATAGGAACTTTCCATAGGATTAGGGTTTGTGCTTTAGGTAACAAGGTTCAGATATGCAGTACATTTTGGCCATTCTAATTTTTTCCTGTTTTTTTTTAGCTTTGTTTGTTGGTGTCAGAATTTATAAATAAGTCACGGATTATTAAATTATGCCTTTAAATATTAAAATTGCTGCCGTCGCACTTGCAACATGTGTAATTGGGAAAATTTATAGTACTACAATTAAATAACCATTTCTAGTTAACCATTTTATTTCAATCTTCAATCCACTTTGGACATCAGAGAATGGATGTCTACAGCAGTATCCAACTGTCAAGGTTGTTATTTTGAGTTTCTGGCTCAAAGCTTTTCTCTATCCTAGTTTTTTTGGACTCTTAGTGTATATACTACTTAGTGATAATTTTTTTTTATGAGGCTATGCATGTTAAATAGTGTGATGCTGATGATACTTGATATATTTTTCTCAAACCAACTCAACACAGAAATGATTGACACTGCTTTAAAAATTGACAGTCCTACTTTACATTCCTTAATGGATTTGCCATTTGTTGAACTTTGGGTGCAACATTTTTTTTGTAGTTAAACATTGATAAGACTGAAATCATGATGCTAGATCTTCTGCATCAACTGTGACAATCCAATTCACGATGAATTTCTGTGGTGGGGTTAAGACTGTGTACTAAAATGAAAAATGCAGACTACCTTTAGAGTATTTTTTTTATCTTGGGAGCATTATGTGGTTGTGGTCTGTTTGAATCAAAAGTTAAGTCAATTTTGAAACACAATTTTTAAAGGTATGCACTCATTTTTTTGTTTCATTTTGTGTTGTGCCCATATCTAAATTTGGTAGAAAAGATTAGTTACTAATACATTCTTGAAGTTAAAGCATTATACTTTATATGTTTAGTTTTTAGGTATACTAATTGTTCCTTCAGAAACAGAATATTTATAGTATATGGAAATTCCAGCATCTTAGCATTATATAGATAAATCAGTAATTGTGACAACATTCATGAGATTTGTTTTTTAATGTAGTACTTGAAATTAAAACAACAATAATAGAGCTTAAGAAATAGCTCAGCTCATTAATGGCTTCTGAAATTTCCTTGAACACATCATGTTCTCAGCATATTCTAGGAATCACTGGTACTTATATCTGTTTGGTTCCTATTTGACTAATGGGGTCACGTTTTAAAATCTGACTGTTTTGAATCTAGTGATATCTCATGGTTCTGTGCTCAGACCTTTACTATTTAGAAAGTATTTAATGTTGTATGTTGGGCTATAGGTCACTATTTGCCATGACTGATTTAGGTTTCACTAATATGCTGATGATATTCAGATTTACTTGCAGACCAAGTCAGATGCTACTGCTGCATTTATGAACTTTACAGGGGTCTTTCTGTTTTTAAGGTGATAGGTCCAACAGAACTTTTTAAATGTGTTTCAAAATCTGTGACAGGACAGAGGATTATGTTCATAGGTTTCCATCATCGGTGTCACAAAGTGGTGCCTTAACTGTTGCTGTTGATGGTGGTGAAATTAAAATCTTGATAGAAGTTTGAAAACTTGGTCTTATTTTTGACCGTGTTGTCATTGCAAGCTCATGTTCTAAACTCCACAATGGTATCTTTCAAACCATGTATCATTGCTTGCTCAGTCTGTTTATGAAATATTGACTGTGACAAGCAACCTTCATTTATTCAAGGTGGGTGTCTGCTAAGGTACTAAATAGGTTTCAATTTGTAAAGAATTCTGTTGATTGTCTACTTAATCATAATGTGCATCAGCATATCACTTTTGTCTTTTGTAAATTTCATGGGCTCCTTTGATATCCAATAAAATTTTAATTAAATAAGTGATGGGCTGGTGAACATTACTGAAAACAGATTTGTCAAATAGATTTAGAAGGCAGAAAGCATCAAAAGGAATTCCATCCAACCTTGAAGTAATGAAGGAAAAAAACGGAAGTTGTGAATTTCATTAAAGGCAAACCGATTCAAAGGACAGCCTTTTGAGTCTCTGTTTTGTTATATGATCATAGTACACACACTAGCTCTTCCACAAAGACTTGTGTTGGTCATCAAAAGGTCGAGTGCTTGGTAGCTTGTATGAATTGAGGAATACATTTTTTTTTTTCCTTAATGTGAAATGGTCACCATCCTGCCAGTTCATAAAAAATGGCTTTTAACCCCGTCTTACCTGGTGACACCTTGATTCTAAACTGGGAATCATTATCATTGCTTTCCAAACAAGACTATGTGACACTACAGTGTATTCCACAATGCTAAGGTGTACTGAAAAAACCAAACAAATAATTTTGCTAAGGAAATTGTTATTGATCTGACAAGCCTTAGTCAGTTGCTTCTGGCTGCACTGATTAACAATTGTTGGCCCTTCATTTTTAGAAAAGAGATAAGAGGTGAGTAAAAAAATCCCTTTGAGTTTGAAATCCCAGTTACTGAAAGACTTGATTCTAACACCTAGTGAGGAGACTGAGCTGCTGTGACAGATCTGTTATCTATTGCACTTTTATAACAAAATATATGATTTACTTACGTGAAATTTTTAATGCTAATGCTTTGGGGATAAACAAACCTAATTTGATTGCATATGCAAATAGTTTTATATTTAGCTTTATTATGTGGATAAACTGTTTGACCAAAGTGGGTTGCTTGAAAGTTTGAAAAACAGTGGTTTAGGGAGTCCTGAGGATTTTCTATTGAATGAGAGACCGGTTCTCCACTTATCAATATTTGTTTCTCATTTACAGGGTGAAGTCTGTTCTTCTACAGGTATATCTGTAAAAGACATGACTGTTTCTCACAGATTATCTACTGAATATAGAACATTTTTCTAATTATTTTTTTAGGTTTGCTACCTAATTATTACTTTGCTACCACACAGTGGTAGGAAACAAAGGAAAAATGTTATTTGATTGATATTACCTTACAAATAGTGGACGTATAACTGGAATCTTTTAGAGTTTGGGGTTATGACCTGACATTGATATGATATTTTGGTATTATTTTTACCTTTTTCTTTTATTCACACCCCCTATTTTGTTATAATGAACAATATCATTTTCAGCACAGAAAGCACGGGTTTAACACTTTTTTTCTTATTTAAAGGGGACTTCTCTGATTCGAGTTTCTCTTGGACAATTGGACTTTCTCATCTAGAACTACTATCTTTATCAGATGCTACACTGCATATTCCCATAGACATCAAACAAAATTGTGAAAAAACAATGCATGAACTAAATATGATTACATGTTTTTCTGACCATGTAACCTGTAAAGGGGTCCTTTAATTGTATTAATATATGAAATACCTTTTACTTGAAGGAATATCCAAATGAAAGGACCAGTATAATTATACAGTGTTTTGATATTTATAAAAATATATATTAAGTATTAAAAGTAACCTATTTCTTACTGCAACCGCCCACTGTGCATCTGTAATACATTTGTTATACTAGGTTGTAGATGTTATCTTGTGGGATTGATTCCTGTTTTGTGGTAGAGCTTGAAAAACTACATGCCTGGTCACTGACATACTAACCAGTTACCACACATTGTCCTGTCTCATCTGACAAATGTTCATTGGGGCTGAAGTCTGGTAAGTATGGTGTCCATTATGTACCTGTTACTTTACCATCTCATGTAAAAACTAGTGTTCCATGAGTACTGTACAGATGGAATCAAAAGACCTGATCAGTGTTGCACCATGCAGTTACATTTCCATGATTCAATACAAGTGAATCAGGTGCAGTAGGCTGAGTAAAGGGATGGACCCTGTGCAGTGCTTTCACACCGTAGGAGTTTGGCTGAAGTTCAGGGGGTTAAGCTAAGGTGAGATCCAGGTCGAAGTCCGTATCCAAAACCAAGAGATCCAGTAGAAGGTCGGCAATATCTGAAGGGCGAGACAAAGGCGAGGTCAAAGTCCGTGATCAAGAACCACAAAATGCAATAGAACAGGATGTGAGTAAACAACGAGGTAAGAAGCTCAGGTAGAGAGACCAACACCGGGTGAGGAGAGATGAGAAGTGAGTGTTTAAGTACTAGGTTAGGTGACTATGGAAGTGTTGTAACTGGTTAATTAGTTGGAGTGATGGTCTTTTCCAGAATTACCTGGAACTGAAGTGGAATTAGAATGAGGCCGTTTCCGATTAGTGGAGGGTGTGACACGTGGACTCCTGTAGTGACTAAACACACCTAGCCAAACCACTTGGACCTTCCCACAAACTGCTATGAATACATCAAGTGGGGTCTACACAAAACCTTGATCCTTCTCTAAGAGAGGTTTGGCTCAAGTGTTGGGAGCATTTTTGTCCAAGATACTAATGACACAAAGGATTGTTTGCTTAATAAGTGGAACATATTTTTTTCTTTTTTTATTTAAGCTAGCCTTAACATTCAGTAGGCTAAATCACCTCTTTAGCTGTGCCAATCCTGCTCTCTCACTAAGAAAATTTAGTGCTTATGCGGCAGTCACTCATGTATTATGGTCAGTCACATGATCAATTAATCAAAATCATAAATAGTAAAATATTAAATGAATCTCCAATTTTCTAAAAACATACACACATGACGCACATAATATTCAATAACAGATAAGTCACAGAAGAGCACCAATATATATGCATTTTTTTGCTTTTCTGTATCATTTCCTGTAATGATGAATGGAAGATAATGTCAAGATAGAACTTTGATATAATTTAATATTTTTTGTAAAGGCAAGTGCCTATGGCCTTGGAAATGACATTTGAATATTCACATTTTGAAGTTGTTTAAAATCACTCATCTCAATGTAGATTTTGGGAAAATTATGGGGAATTCTGACTAGTATTTAATATTATATATAGTATTTTGTAGTAGTATTACAACTGCATTATAGTGTAGTTGGCTTAATTCCATTTTGGGAATTCTCAGTCTGGTCTAACTAACTCCCCTTCTTAATTCAAATAGTGAATTAATTTTCAACTTCACCTTATCTGGTGTGTCATGGGGCTTCTTTGAAGAATGAATGTCATATATCATGCAAAGTGTTCAGTGGTTCTTCAGGATGAAACATGACCTGCAATTGCAAGACTTATTTGAAATTAATTCAGTAGTACCAGGTAACGTATGTGCTGTTTGTAAGGGTATACTGAAACTGCTTTCTCTTTTTTATGGAAGTTGTTTCATCTGCTTGTTAAATTGTTTTGGTAAATAAGAAGCATCCAGTGCCAATATTTAGTTTCTATAAACACTAAAGGCTGAGTTTTCTAATACTGGGATGTTGTGTTCCCTGGGGACCATTTCCAGCATTTAATCTATAGGGGGTAAAAGCTGTTAAGATTTTGAGAGTACAGCAATTATTACTTAAAGTACAGACAGTGTATTTCTGATAATCACAACTTATATTTTCCTAGGTGCTGGCTGTAATGGTTATAGTATAAGCTCCAGATGAGTAATTTGTGGGAATTAAAACCAAGCAGCACTGGTGTCTCATTTATGTCTTGTTAAATAAGACTGCAGAGAGATAGGGCTGTATGCTTTTAAGGTAGTAAGCTAAGCATAATTGCCATGTTAAATGACAGCTCTACCCTCTTGTTACTTCTCTTATTGCTGTCTTTATTCAAGGAACAAGAGACTTGCTGTCAGGAAAACTGGAAGAAATCTCAACTGAAGAATGATGGGGACTGGGTAAACTGAAAGAATAAGGAAGCATAATTGTACAATTTAAGAAGGGCTGAAATAGCTTTATTCTAGATGCAGGAAAGTCAGCTTGTATCTGTTTTTTCACAGTGATTTTAGGTTATTGATATTTAAGTCTTTTTATGAATATGGCTGTTTGCAACAGAGATGTGTTGCTTTTGCCTTAAGGTTTTCTACTTAACCTTTTCAGTGTTCTGTGTGTAGTGGGTGTCTGTTATATTGCATGGGTTACATAAACACCAGAATTGCATATCTTATCAATACCACTGTGCTCAATTATCTCCCTCAGCCCAGTACAGGGGTAATGTACAAATTAAGCAGCAAGAAAAGCTGTGTGTTCAATTTGGCTGATAGAATAAAAAATAAATCACTGAACTGCAGAATTAGACAATGGGGAAGGCAGCTCCAGGAAGTACCTTACCATTTGTGACATTGAAGACATTGACTATACTCGTTGAAATGACAGAAGTGGAACCAGCAATCTGAATTTTAGGTATGTGGGGATGGTTTTTGCAGTGCAAAACATAAATAGCCAATGACAAAGGAAAGAAGTCTTTGTGGTGGTATTGTAAGGGCTTGGAGGGACACTGATTCCATCCTTAGAGGCTAGCATGCTGCTAATTTAATACCAAAAAGGTAACTGCGTATACTGGGAACATTTTGAAGTGCTGAAGTAATGAATATACTGTAACACAAATGTTCACATATCTAAATCTATCTGCAAAATTCTTATAGTTGGATTTCAGAATTGTATTTTTTGATGACTGTTGATATACTGTATTTTTTTGGACAGGGTTCCTCCCTCAAAAGGGACCCTTGTCTTAGTGTGGAAATAATTTATGAATACGCAGTGTATTTTCTCATATTAAATAAAAATGAATCCATTCTTTCTGCATGTTTTAAAGGTTTTTGCTTCAGCTGGAAGTTTCCTCCTCAGCCATAGACAGACACCCTTCTGCCTTGAATGTAATAGAAACCAACCCCTTCAAACATCTGATTCATCTTTCACTAAGGATGCTACCAGGAAACGATGCTGATGTGAAGAAATATTTAGCTGTCTGTCTGCAAAGATTAAAGGTTCAGTATAAACTAAAACAGATTTATTTATTTTTTAAAGTCAGTTGTAAAATTAGGAAACAACCAAAGTTATTGGGAGCTTTTAGAAAGGAACATGGTTTGTAAACTCTTACAGGTTCTGTTAGGAGATGCTTATTGCTCACGCAAAGAATTTACAGAGCTTTCATAAAAGTGAATCTTGCAGAATCTACTATTGAAAGAGTGGAGATGTCCAATAGCTTGCATCCCAAACAAACTATGAGAAAATAATCAAAATGAGAATAAGACTGCGCTGTTGTCATGTAATTAAATGCTAATTGTGCTACAATACTTGTATTTTTTTATTGTATTTTTGTACTGTTTTGTTATGCACTAAAACAAAACAACATATTAGACCTTACAATTTTAAGTATATATTTTATTTCAAACATTTTAGACTGAGAAGAATAATCTGGAAGAAAAGCTGAAACAAACAGAAGATGATCTGTCTAAACGACTGAGTGTAACACAGCAGGTAAAGTATTAATTTTAAATCTTTAAAACTTATAATTGAGGATTTATATTAAAACTGTGAAACTTCTTCATAGACACTTGCTGAAAAGGCAAAAGAATTAGAGAAGATGCAGAATACATGGTCATTACAAACATCTGAGCTATCAAACAGGCACAACCAAGATGTCACAGCCGAAAGAGAGAGAGCATTACAGGTGAGGTTGTTTTCAAGCTTTTTAAAAAAAAACTATTAATACATTTTGATACTCTTATACATTTACATCTGTATTTTACATTTTAGATGAGCATATGTTGTTTTTCATTGAGTCTTTTTATTTGAGACAATACTGAGCAGTTGTGATCTCATTAAAACACTAGGTTTTCAGACTGTGGTTTTGCTCTCCTGCGCTTGAATAAAGTTTTCTAGCATTGATTAAACATCTGTATTCATTACCATTCAAACTTAAATAATTTAAGTCTATAATTAAGGCAAAAGCAAAAGAAGAAATTTTCTAATAGTAGCACAGTATTCCTGCTCAGAATTCAAGAATAAATGATTCATTTGATAATAAATAAGAAAGCTTTAAATGAAAACACCTTGGACAGTTTTCAGTGCAATTGCTGTGAAGAAGAAGGCATGCATTGTTTTTTTTTTTACCCATAGAATGCATTAACATATAATGAGAATGATTTCAGATGTTGTTAATGCTAGGATTTTAATAGACTGAACTTCTGTGTTTTTCTTTGAAATTTCTCTAGATTCAGTCTCATTGCCAACAGCAACATGAGCATCAGAAAAGGGAGATGGAACTTGCTCATAAGAGAGCAGTGCAGCATTTAGAAAGCAGAACAGCAGAACTGGAATGTATTAACAAAGAGCTCATGGAAAAGAAGTACAAATCGGAGTCTGCTGTACGAGAGCTAAGAGCAAAACTGGCAAATCTGGAAGATGTAAGCACAATGTTTCTATTATTAATAGAGAGAATTATAAACACAGAGAAGATTTCTGCCATGAATCAATACCTCAAGCCACTCTATTTCCATACTGTATAGCAAAAAATGTAAATTCATTTTCAGAGCTGGAATGTTAAGATTACTAAACGCAGAAGAATGATGTGCTGAAAAAGATTAATCACTTTTCCATAAGGCAAATATTCTTCCTATCTAAAAATATATGTACATGCAAGCTTTATTTATAATCTGTACTAATAGTAATTGTTTCCTTCCAAACATTAATTCTTATTTACCTTGCCTAGGAGAATGAACACTTATCGATCAGCAGTTATCTCACTTAATTTTCCTAGCAATAACCACAGTAATAAAACTCCAGTGTTACTAACAAACACTAACTAGCCAATGGGTCTAACCATAAAAAATAGTACTACTATCTTATTTCCACATGAGTTAAGCTACAACTAGGATAAAATACGTGGACATGACCATTGCATAGCACAAACTGCCACTTTATATCATGTTTTGGAGTTTGGAGTGCATAACTTTAATTGTTAACCAATAAATAATGTTACAAATAAATAATTGATAAATAGTGTTACACAGGAGGTTTTCAGTAGTAATGCACAGGGAGTCTATATAGAGATAATATTCATAGAGCAAGTATAAAGCCCCCTTTTCATCTGCTGGCCTGCTCTATTGAGGGTAGTTTTATATAATTGGTAATCAGTAGAAGCTCATATGGTGGGGATAATGTTGTTATAAAGGGAGTCATGTTATTCTTTCCATTTATAAAATGATTTGATTTAAAAGAAGGACATCAATACTTCCCTTGTATTCAATTATTTTAGTTGCACTCTGTGGGGTTTTTAGCACCCCTTATTGTTAGGAAAATAAACTTATGTTGATGTAGGTCATATATTTTGTTGCTATTTGCAGTGTATGTATAGACTGAAATGGATCAGGCTAAATTCTTATAACAAGAAGGACTACAAGAATTATATATCTAGGCCTACTTTTTGTAAGTACTGTACTTATTGTAATTGTTTCTTGTGTGTGTTGCACCACTTTATGAACCACCCGAACAATGTAAATCAGATCTCTCACAAATGAAGAATTTGGGGATTTGGTAATGATAACCGTATTAAATATTGATGATGATGTAGAATAACAAAACACATTCAATATTATCTTGCAATGAACATGTTTCTGCTTTGCAAATTATATCTAATGGTTTTAAATATTGACAAATATTAAGAACTACTTTTAATATTCACACTGTGGTTTATTCACACTTTAATAGTACACTATCAAAAGTGAAGAAGTGACTAAAGATTTTCCAATTGCTTTAGCTCTTCTGAATATAACATTCCATTTAGACCTGGAAGTATTGTATTTGATATTGCACTTTTCATTCACACCGCACTCCATATTTATAGAGTCCATTTTTATTACTATCTACTGTACTTGTCTACAAAAAAACTTTGTGTCTTGGTTGTTGGGGTTACCTATTCTAGAATATTAATAAACCTCAGGATATTTTTTCAGTAGTTTATAAGTTTATCCCTTGATAGATGATGTTATGCTGACTATTGCATTGTTTACAGCAACATGTGAGACAGTAGATGTAATGTGGGAAGGAATCTCTTTTAACACAAATGTCATTGGTGTTGACTGAGGGAAACATTTCTGCTCAGATACATAAAGATAATCCTTGAGCTAGAGTTTTTTTTTTATTTCTGCAAGATAAGTCCACGCAGAGTAGGAATAACAATGGCATGTCCAAAACACCTGTGGGACCAACTTGTCAATGCTGTCAAAAGAAGGCACTTGCAACCAGCCAACATTTATTGGTTTCTTGCAGCAGCACAAAAACTGTGTTGGAACATCATACAGTACTCATTGTTGCACAAAAACATTTACGGTATGTCTGTTGGCTGCATTTCGTAGTCTGTTACATGCTCATTTTACTTAAACTGTCATTTTATCTTAACTAATATCATGCAGGCTTATTGTTTTAGGCTTAAGGTTATTGTACCTCTGCATCTTTTGATATGTAGTGCTATACAGCTTTTTTTTGTCTTACCTGTGTTTATGGAAAACACTATACCCCTAATATACTCATTTTTGCCACTCTTCTTGAGACAAATTGTAGAATCACTTATTACATTAGTTATCTCCTATAGCAGTGGCTTATAGTTCTAACATATTGCTTTCATCGTACTGACCATTTAATAGTGTTCCCTCTCTGCATTCCGGTTTTACATGTTTTTAGACCACTCTTTCACATTTCATTTTTTTATCCCAAAGTTTGGTCTTATCTCATTTAAACTAAGGTAAGGAGTACTTATACAGAAAGGACTACATTAAAAAGGGCTCTTGGTTGCTGGAATAGTATATCCATCATGGGCTCAGTTAAGGGTCCACTTCCTCACATGCTGCCAGAGAATTAGCAGCTAGACAGACCCTTTCACCATCTGGATGTCATCCATAAATTTGGGTCCACTTGCTGCTATTAAGTGCTTGTAGACAAATCTCCTCCGGATTCCAAAATCTGACTTACTTATTCATTCAGATTCTATTTTACTTGCACAGAGACCTTTTTTTTTACATAAAAGACTTCCATTCACTCATTAGTCTATTGCCCTTGCAGTCAGACAGCCCTGTTCCATTGGAATGCCTCCAGAACCCCAGGCTTTTAAGTACTCTTGAACAGATCCTCTTCTGTTCCAGATTCTTCTTCTAGATCTTACTTTACTCCCATTCCAGGGAAAGCTGCAGTCTACTCAGAATGTTGGTTTCCTGTACATCAACAACAACACTTACACAGCCAGCGGTCTCCTGCTCAGTAAATGCCTGAAATGCTTACGTATTCAGAGCCTGCTCATTTACATAGACCGATTCGCTAACCACACAGACTGGCTTGCTCATAACACAGACAAACTGTCTCAAGCACCATTGCCACACACAAAAGATACACACCTGCTCTCCCATAGCTTCGGCCTGGCCAGTCTCACTGCTGAGCCTCTTCATTTGTCAGGCAAACTAGTCACACTGCTAACCCTTATATATAAGATATTAATGCATAATAAACATATTAATGCTAACATTAGCATATTATCCAGGAGATTTGCTCTTGCGTCCTCTCTGTTCTGAGTCTGGATCAGACCGATAGTCTTTTCTTGATTTGACTCCAGGCGAGTAAGCCACCTACAACTGTAGCTCATTTTATCGCATACTTTCTTCATAAAGATACATGCTTCTCGGGGAGAAGCTCTGCCCCTCAGCATTCCTAATGTATACTGTATAGACATTTTTATTAAATTTGGAGTTTTGGAAAATAAAAATATTTGCTTTATAAGTGGAAATGTGGAATAAATATTGTTTGGTTGGTCCCTTCTGTTTTAATGGAGCCATGTACTGTAGTTTTGATGGTTTTCTCGTTCTTTCTATTCCTTGCAAGTTGACTCATATAAATCAATATAAGGGACCTTCTTGAGCATTGCTCCAAAGCTACAATTTCTATTAAGCAACTTCCTCAATTGCATAAGATCATGAATGAACAGATCTGAAGGCAGAGAGACTTTCAACAAAATGCATTACTCTTCTTGACAATTTTTAAAAATAAAATATGTATCAATTTATATACAGTAAATTACTTTAGAAAAAATATTTGATTTTCTGTCAACCATCAAAGATGTTTCACTTATTTTTTAGACAAAACAACTTTCATCACGGCCCACTTAATAATAATAATTGCTTACACTTTTATAGTGCTTTTCTGGACACTCCACTCAAAGCACTTTACAGGTAATGGGTCTCCCCTCCACCACCACCAATGTGCAGCATCCACCTGGATGATGCGACGGCAGCCATAGGGCGCCAGAATGCTCACCACACTTCAGCTATCAGTGGGGAGGAGAGCAGAGAAATGAAGTCAATTTAAAATGGGGATTATTAGGAGGCAAGGATTGGTAAGGGCCAGTGGGAAATTTGGCCAGGATGCTGGGGTTACACCCCTCCTCTTTTGGAGAAACACCCTGGGATTTTTAATGACCACAGAGAGTCAGGACCTCAGTTTTACGTTTCATCTGAAAGACGAAGCCTGTTTACGGTATAGTGTCCCTGTCACTATACTGGGGCATTAAGACCCAGGGTGAGCGCCCCCTGATGGCCCCACTAACACCTCTTCCAGCATATTGTTAAACCAAGTAGCCATCAGTCTTCAAAAGGGTACAAAAAAATGAAAGGTCAGGAACAACTGCTTGAGAATGGTTTATTCAGTGTATATTCTTTTGTAATTGTCAGGATTATCAAAGATCTAAGCAAGAATTGATCTCTCTGAGAAGGGAGAACTCCACCCTGGACACAGAGTGCCATGAGAAGGAGAAGCTCCTTAACCATCTTAGGACAAGGACTGCTGTCTTGGAGCAGGAAATAAAAGATAAGGAACAGGTTGTCACAAGGACAACAAACATCTTTGAGGCTGCTAAGGAGAAGAAGGTGTACAAATAATCTTAATTTTAACTCCATTTGGGCCTATGTTCTGATGTTTTAATGGTTTTTATTACTATTGCCTGAATTATATGGTCTATAATCCATCCTCTGCCTGGGAAGACATGGTGTTTAAAATTACCTGCACTTCTAAGTGAGGTTTTAGGTGATAAAAGATGCTCTTAATCTTAAGCTGATCTTTTAATTAAACAGTTAAATTTGTTTAAAAAAATATATTTCTTGTTGAATACCTGCAAATTCATTGATTACATTTTTAAATTTAAATTGTGCTTTTTACATGGATTTTACCTCGCTAGATAAGGGGTGTCGCACTCATTTGCTATGGTAATCCAGATTTGCTTTAGATGTTCTTTAAATAGGCCATGAAGTATGTTACATGAATATTACATAGTCTTATATATTTGTAGTATTTTCTAATTTTAGTATTTTACAATACATTACCTCCATTTGAAATTCAGTAAGCAGTCCTTGCATTTCCAATTGATGACAATGAAGCAAAACATACTCATTACCCTCTGAGTGTGGGCTGTTTTTGTGGCATTATTAGCCATTATTTAAATGATGTAAATTATTATTTAAAAAGTAATTGCTCTTTGTGTATAATATGTAAGTCTCCATGCAGTTGAAAAGATATTGCTATAGTACATCTTGTTCAATAACTGGCAAAATAAGTGGCCTTTTATACAGTATAAAACCACCATTCATCGTACAAATGCTCAATTATTGCTAAAATTTAGCTTGTAATTTAATGTTTTTGTTTTACTGTATGAAGCCATTTTTCTATGAATGGAAATGCCTTCATCATAGGTGATTTCCTTGTGATGTTCCTTATGTGTTGTGTATTGCCAGTGGTTAATATGAAACAAAATAAGGAAGTAATTTCCACTGTAAATCTTGAAGTAAAACGCTCACAATTATGGTAGGAGAAATTCATTTAGAGATATGATTTTCTATCAAGTTTGCAATGAAATGGTAGGTTTTGTAATGGTAATTCAGTGACTTCATTTAACTCATGGGGTCTAGTTCAGGTAATCAGATTCTTATTTGTAGGACCACCAATGAATTTAAGCTTAAAATAAAATGAATTTTACATTGAACCTGTTCGGAATATTTGCCATCCATTCAAATGCATTACTGAAAATGAGTTTATTATATTTGGACTTGCCACATGGAAGTCCATTTCTAATGTGTGAGTAAATTTAAAATATTTTTCATTATTTCATTGTACATCAGTCATGTCATCTGCTTTTGTGCTTTTGCAGAAAAGGTTAGAGGAAACAATGGAAGAAAAGCATCTACTAATAGGAAAACTTGAAGCCACTGTAAAATCCCTCTCAGAGGAGCTCTTAAAGGTGATTCACATTTTTTTTCCTTTTATATGTTTCTGCTTTTTTGAGTTCCTTATCTGTTTGGGTTTTGTATAAAATATATTTTCTTTCATAGGCTAATGAAATTATTAGGAAATTGCAAATGGATGTGAAGAAACTTGTTGAGAAAACAAAGCTAAAAAACACCGTCACGATGCAACAAGAAAAACTTTTAGGTGAGAAAGAACAAAGTCTTCAGAAGGAAAGACAAGAGCTGACTCTCTTGAAACATGCAGTAAAACAGAAGGAAGAGGAGGTAAAGTCCTTAGCAACTGTTTAATAATATTGTCTTTAATGGAAACTGGAGTAGTGTGAAAGCCACACCAGATCATTATTAAAATATACATTGTTTCTTTCAAATGGATGTGAATGTCACTCTTCTGTAGCAGTAGTTAATTTAACATTGATGTTACATTTTGGGTAAACTTCAAAGAATCTAGATACATTGTGTTTGACAGTGGATTTTGATGAATTAATCAAAAAGTAATTACAGTATACTAAACCACTATTTAGTATACTGTGGACTACACAAACATATTGAGTTAAAATTGAATTAGCTCTCCTTTATTAGTGGATTACACTACAGTTACAAACAACAGGAGAAACGTTTGCTAAACTGTCCATTTTTAAATTTCACCTTTTGTTTATTTGATTAAATGTAAAAATAGCTCTGTAACCAGGCAGCAATTACTTATTCTTAAACTCCTAAGTGAATAAATGGGGTGAATTAATTTATATGATGCTTATATAGTTGAATTTACATAAAAGAACAAATCTGAAGTGTTCATAACTGCTGAATTTATTTTCAGCAAAATAATTACTAAAATTAGGATGGTTTTAGAGCATATTCTGTGAATGTCAAAAATGTATTTCACTATTAAGTCTGCAGAGAGTACAATAGTCTACTATTAGGGTACTTTTAACTTAAAGAAAAAAAAAGATGCTATTTCATTATTGAGGCTTTGTGACTTGGTGGGGTCATTAATTAATTTCATTGAAGTACTTTAAAATTTTAAACATTGTAATTACACTTATAAGTACTTATAATTACATGTACATGTATAATGATTGGATTTCTTTCAGTTGCAATAAAAAATGTTCAGTTTACTTAAAGATCACAGGGATCAGTTTGAAATAATGGAAAATCAACTGACATCAGTCATTCATTTAGGTCTCAAAGCTGCAAGACCAGCTGGATGCTACTGTACAGAAACTGGATGAAAGTACAGAGCTATTGAAAACAAATGAAAATGGTACAGTATGTAACAGTACACTATACACTATGTCACACATGATCTATTATGTTTGTTTGAAAAATGTGTTAATTGTGGATTTCATTATAGTCATATCGTGGTTAAATAAACAGCTTAACGAAAGCAAGATTGCTTCAATGCAAGGCCCAGCTGGTTTATGTGAACCAGCATTCCTGGCCTCAAAGACTACAGTTATGCAGAATAACCTGGTAAGTTGAACAGCAATTGAATGTATTAAACTTGCATAATGACATGTTGGTTTTTCTACATATATACTGTATGTTCTGCATTTCTATCGGATAACTTGCCCCATTGTAGAGTAGAGTGCATTGTAGCATGCAGGTAAGTTGAGTGTTAGGACAGGGAATCTTGGAGATCTGCTTGAAATGATTTGCTGGTTGTCTCCAGGGGGTATCATGGCATAGAACATTACCCTTTGATATGCTGTGCTGAGTATGAGGGATAAAAAGGCAACTGGTCTGAGATCATTCATCCATGCCATAGAGAATCCTAAGGATTAGGTAACACGAAAAGAAAGAGCTGAGACCTGCTTAGCTGAAACCTTCATGTCCTGCTTCAGCATCCTGAAATTTACCTTCCCTTTTTGGAGAAAGCTGAAAATCAGATTTCTAAAAATGAAATGAACTACTTTGTGTACTTTACCTTTCTCATTTTGTTTCATAATGAATCACCATAAAATACACTTATGTAAAAAAATATATGGTGTAATTAATTTCTAGCACTTGTGTACAACAGATTGACAATCACTGCTCTTGTTACTGCACTGCTTTCTTGACCAGTGTATACCAGCATCAGCTTGATGACCTTCATGGTTTACATTTAAAATTTAATTTACTATTAGGGCAATGTTTCTGGAGTTTTATTGGTATCTTAAAACTGAATTGTTACTGCTACTGAAAAATTAAAGGCATCTTCTGACAAGTTATTTTACTTTCTTAACACCTTTACTGGGTGTTAAGTCAAAATAAGTGCATTACATTAATTTTAAATATCTTAAGTGTCCATGTATTAACATAATAACTACACTTAATTTTGTCTCCGAACAAATTCTCTCTCGCTTTTTACTCAATTGTAACAATTGTAACAATCATATTATGATATCCCACTCCATGTATAAGTCGCCCACACAGGTGACAGACAATACAAGAAGGAACGAGATATAAAATAAGCCAATGTACTAGTACCAGAAATGGAGTTTATGGGGGCTTTTTACTAAACCTTGAAAAAACAGCATTTTAACAGTTTTAACAGTTTGAATGGTAACTACCTGAATAACTTGGTAGGTGTTTTAGTTGGCATTGCTAAAATGTTCCATCCATGGAATTAAAATAATTTGAAGAAGTTATCTATTTTCTAAAAGTACCCTCTCTTCATTAATATGATTTCTATGCATATGTTTACTCAATCCAGGTTGAATTACCTTTCCTGTTCAGTTTCTTGAATAATGCTAATTAATCACTTTAAAGTATGTTTGATGAGGGGGGAAAAATGGAAATTATAATTATTTACTGTTCAATTTACTCTATTCTTGTTTAACCAATACCATTTTGGTGAGTTAAGGTAAATATGATCTGTGAGTTCTTTGGAGCAGTAGCTGCTAAAATAAATTTCTTGCCTAAGTAATACCTTACATATTTTTTCTTGGCCATCTGTAGTGCTCTACTGTATCTTAAAAACAAAAACGGACAAAAGTTTATTATATAGAATGTTTTTAATATATCTGTAAATACTTTAATTTATAAACATTACCTGCAAATTAATAGAAATTTAAGTAAAAGTACTGCCAAAATCATTTTTTGAAACTCAAAACTTTACTGATGTCATGTAGTATGGTTTTTTGTGTATTTTTTCTTTAGTTTCACACTTGTTTACATATACATTATAAAAGATTATCATCTAAATTCTTAACACACTCTTAATTATGTTAATATTTCTTGCATATTATTAGATAAAATGCAAGCCTTGACAAGCCTCACCATGTTTATTTTTTAATTTTTTTTATTTTTAAGAGAACAAAACAAAACCATTTTACATATGAACATCCATTATTCAGCATTACATTGCAGGCACAAATTCCTGTTTGTTCCCCTAGTTTTTTACAATTATATAACTTTTTAACAAAACTATATACATTCAAAAGAAGGAAGATGTATAAATTTATGAATATGAAAAGGGAGTAGACTATATAAATGTATCTTATTAAATTTCAGTTATTCTGTATCTCAACAAAATCTGACCTTAAAGGTTTAATGTACTGAACCCATCTAGACCAATATTTGATAATTTTTTTCATTTGTAATTTTAGTGAAAATGTTATTTTTTCCATTATATATATTTCTTTTATTAATTCAATCCAATCATTCATTGTTGGTAGATCTGTGAGAAGCCACTGTCTTGTTATAGCTTTCTTCCCTGCTGATATAAGGACTCCAAACAAATATTCATCCATTCCCCTCCAATCAAAATCCAGTTTACCAAAATATAAAGCCTCAAATGTAAAGGGTACATTCCTTTCAAATATAGTTTCCAGGGCTTCATGTAACTCCTTCCAGAAAAGCCTTATTTTAGGGCAGTTC